CCCCAAAACCCCAAAACCCCAAAACCCCAAAACCCCAAAACCCCAAAACCCCAAAACATATATAAATAAAAATATCACAAAGGTGCAGTTACATAAATGCCAGCAAGAGCCACCACAAGATCAAAGAATGGAGATAGAAAGGGATCTCATACACAAGACCCACTTGATGCCGAAGCGAAGAATAGAATCCACCAGCTTTTGGATAATGTTAGAGAACAGGTAAGCAATTGGGTCAAGGATTGTAAATATGAAGGAAGCAAATTAATATGTTTTAGTTTTTGATAAAATTTAGGCTTAGATGAAGTCTTAGAGTCCTTAAAGTACTTTTTAAGATTATAGAATTGGGTTTTGAACCCTATAGTATATAAATAAGCTGGATTGTGCTGAGAAAGAAGTGATATTTTTAGCTTTATTTTGAGACTTTTTGGTAGTATTAAAACGATATTTTCAGCAAAAAATTACTATTGGCTGTTTAAGTACTATCATCAAACCTTCCCTCATTTTTTTTTAGACAAAAGAAAAATCTGAAAGTGAGAGAAATGAAAATGGCTTTGTTGAAGGAGAAGATCCAGATAATCCAGTAAGAATTTACTGCGATGGAGTATTTGACGTCTTCCATGTTGGACATGCCAAGGTTCTTGAGCAAGCAAAGAAAATGTTCAAGTATGTCTATCTCATCGTTGGAGTATCAGGTGACGAAGAAACTTTACGTCTCAAAGGAAGAACGGTCATGGATGAAAAAGAACGAACTGAGTCAGTAGAACACTGTAAATGGGTTGATGAAGTAATCTGTCCTTGTCCATGGATCATATCCGTAGATTTTCTTGAAAAGCATAATATCGATTATGTTGCCCATGACGACATTCCTTACAATTCAGCAGGAGCTGGAGATATTTATTCTGAAATCAAGAAGATTGGCAAATTTAAAGCAACTCAGAGAACTGATGGAATCTCAACAAGTGATTTGATCCTCAGAATAATTAAAGATTATGATAAATACATTTGGAGATCTCTTGACAGAGGATACACTCCAAAAGAGCTAGGAATTTCCCAGACAAAAGCTCTCAGAGTGAAACTAAAGGAAAAATTACTACCAATGGTGAACAATAGTGTTGGAAAAGTGGGAAAAGACATCACCAAGACTTTGGATAAATGGAAGAAGAACTCTTCTCACTTTGTGGACCATTTCATTCACCAATTTGATAGAGACTACAAGCCAAAGCATGAACTTGTGATGGTAGACAAAGCCATACTCAGAGATGATGGTATCAGCGATTTCGATTACTAGATGATTTTCTCCTGTTCAGTTAATCTGAAATAAATTTTATGCAGTACAAATTCAATAACTTCTCTCTAGCCGGGGTTTTGGGGTTTTGGGGTTTTGGGGTTTTGGGGTTTTGGGG